GGTGGGGTGGGGTGGGAGGGAGGGAGGGTGGGAGGAAGGAGGATGCCCACAAGTTCGTGCCCGCTGAGGGAGCGGAGCACTCCTGGGCACGGATCCATAAGTAATAAACCACCAAGAAGTGGTGTCGTGTTGCGGTGGACTCTGGTGGACCAGGGGTGTCTCTGGGTGTGTTCCTTGCCCGTGTTGGCACGGGGCCTGGCCGATGCTGCCGCCTCCTCTCCCTCATTGCCGAGCAGGGACTGCGTGTCTGTGGGCTCCTGCGCGCGCATTTGCCTGTGCTCCTCTGGAGGCAACTCTGCACATGCCTGGATCCCGCCCCTGCAAACACCCCGAGAGAGGGGAACCTGCAGCGACTAGAGGATGTTTTGGGGTGGGGGGGAGAGGGAGCAGCCCCTCTCTGTGGGGCTTGTGGCCTGGGAGGGCAGAGGACCGTGCCTTCAAACAGGAGGGCCCGGTTATGGGTCCAGCCCCTGGAAGTGGGAATCCACTCCCGACCGGGAGGCCTTAATGACTCAGTCAGGGAGCGTAATTGTGTTCTGGCGTCCTGTCCTTAATTATGCAATTAGTGGGGCTGTGGAGACTTATGAATTTGCCTTCTTGCCGTAATTCAATTGCGGCGCTGATGGGTCCCCCCCCTCACCTGCCACACTCCTGGGGAGCCTTTCCTGGCCCTTTGGAGGGAGGGGGCAAGAGGGGAAAGGCTGAGCTCCTTGCGGGCTGTGGGGGCGCCTGTTCTCTCCTGCCCCCCCCATCCATGTGGGCTGGTAGGGTGGCAGCGAGACCCCCAAGGAGATCCAGGTCTCTGCTTCTCTCCAGGGCCCTTCCTTGTTCGCAGGAGGGGTGGGGTGGGGTGGGGGGGGAGAGATTGACCTGGCATGATTGAATGTTTTCCTCACTGGGGCCAGTGGGGCATGGAGAGGGCAGGCCTGCCCCCCGGTTGCCCCCCCCCAACCATCCTTCCCCTTCATCCATGCAGGACTTTGGAAGGTGCTTGGGCTGCCTTTGGTAGGGGTTCAAGACCAACCCCCATCCGCCCGAATCAAGGGCCCTTTGACCCTCTTGGTGGGAAGGGATTTGCAGGGGTAACCATTCCCTCTCTGCGGGGGGGGGCGTTGAGAAGGGCTGGCCCCCCTTCCCCTCCTGCCCGGGACCCCCCCCATGCCAGAGCCTGAGGGCTTCCCCTTCCGTGGGCCACGCCACGGCTGCCCGGCTCTCTTCCTCAAAGGTGGCTGCAGGAGAGCCGGGCTTCCTTCCCTCTGGTGGAGGGAGCCCCTTGGTTCCCTCCTTTGGGGGGGGGGATCCGCAGAGCTCCCCAGGCATCTGGGTGGGATTTAAATATACCCCTCCCTTCTCCCTTCCTCCCCCCCCCCAGTTGGCATCAGGCACTCAGTGGCAGGGCTGAGGGCACCGCCAGGTTGCGGGTGCCAGCTTTGTGTNNNGCACTGAGCCGGGAGGGGGGGCGGGTGGGGGGGCGGGCAGGCCTTGCCGGGAGTTATATTTAAGTTCCGTTGCCATGGGAACCGACTCACGGGTGCCCTGCGCCTCCTCCGAGGGCTTCCTTCCCCTCGGTGGTGGTGGTGATGGTGGTGCTGTTTTCCTCCGAGTGTCGTTCTCAGGCTCCCTCCCCCTGCAAATAACACCATCCTCCTGTGCTAGAGACTCTCTCTCTCTCCCCCCCCTTCCAACCCTATGGCTGGATGGTCTTTGGGGGGGTGGGGGGGCTGCTGGGAGGGCACCTTCCTCCCCTGAGTTCCCGGTTGCCTTTGCACCCCCACCCTCGGTGCCTCCAGCGCTCCAGGGGAGGACATTTGGGCTGAGTTCACGAGTGGCTCCCGGCTGCCCAGGGAGCCTCCCTCCCGATCAGGATGTGGATCCAGGCCTGGCACCTTGAGGCACCCAGGGGTGCCAGTCCCTGCTGGGGACCGCTGAAGACTCCCTGCCCGGGGGCTTCCTGGAGCAGAAAGGGAGAGAGAGAGAGAGAGAGAGGATGAGAAGGGCCGAGGTGGTAGGAGTCGCTTTGGAAACCCCTGCTCTGGGTGGAACACAGGCGGCGGCGGTGGCAGTGGGAGGGTGTTCCTCAGGCTCTCTGGAGCACAGGAACCCCCCAAAACAGTGGGGCGGCTTCTTCTCCTAGAGTTTCCCTGGAATAGGCCACGGTGTGCAGTTTGGCTTGAGCCGAGGGCTTTGGGTGGCAGCTGCTACTTCTTCTTCTTCTTCTTCTTCTTCTTCTTCTTCTTCTTCTTCTTCTTCTTCTTCTTCTTCTTCTTCTTCTTCTTCTTCATCATCATCATCATCATCATAGTGGGGTGAGTGTGTACATGTTTGTGTGCATGTGCATGCCTGAGAAAGAAGGGGGGTCACGTGCGGTTCTGGGATGTTGGAGGAGAGGCAGCTCTTCGTTTTGGTGAGGAGAGCGTGTCCCCATTCCCTGCTGAGCCGTCGTCCCACCCGGGGTCTCCTATCTGCCTGGTCTCCCTCGCAGGGACCTCCCATGGCAAGAGGGGCAGAGGGGCCCAAAACGGGTTTGGTGGGCCTGGGAAGCCTCGTGACTCCCAGCCTTTGTCCCCTCCACCCCATCCTGTTCCTGGAAGTGCCTGAGCCCCCACCCACCCACTCTGAGTGGGCAGGCCAGGCCAGGCCCTTGGACCCCAGATCCTGGGATTCAGAAAGCCCTTAACTGCCTGGTCGCCGGGGTTTCCAGCTGCAGAGGGAGATGGGCTGGGCCCTGGCAGCCAAGGTCCTGGAAAGGAGGGCTGAGCTGATGGCAGGAACCGCGCCCCCCCCGGGTACCCTTTTCCTAAGGAAAATCCCCAATCCACGAATGAGGCCGGTTGTCTGGGTGGTGGTGGTGGTGACCTGTCATCAAGACACCTTTGATCCACGCCACCCTGTGAGTGACTGACCACTGTAGTGTCCTC